TAGAAGCAAGTGTTTTGAACAGGTAAGATTTCTTTCATTTAGCTGAGTGTAGTGATGCATGCCTGTGATCTCAGCACTTGGGAGGCTGCGGCGGGAGGATCATTAGGAGCTCGAGACTAACATGGCTATGTGGTGAGTTCAGATCAGCCTACATGGCATAGAAGGCACTGTCTTAAAAAAAAAAAAAAAAAAAAAGATTTTCTTCACTTGTTGGGCCATAGTTGTTAAATTCCAAAATTTAATAGATGAGCACTTTTGTAATTCTAGTTACATATGTCAAATTACTTAACAGAAAATTTGTATCAGTTTGTAATGCTTTTAGCCTTATTTGAATGAATGTATATATATTTTCTTACTGTTTCACAAGAAGTATTTTTTTTTTTTTTTTCTTCTCAGTAGTGGAGATTAAGCTCAGGACCTTCACCCTGAACTGCATCCCCAGTCCTTTTTTTGTTTTTAATTTTGAGGCAGTGTTTTTGCTAAGTCTCAAAGTTGCCAGAGTGGGGCTTGAATTTATGATCCTTGTGCCTGAGCCTCCAGATGTCTAGGATTATAGTATTTGCATGTACCAGCACATTTGGGTACAAATTCTGGTTTTATCTTGATTTTTTTATATACAGGTGGATTTGGATTATAGTCTAAAATTTTTAGGCCTACTTTCTTTTTTTGGTCTTTTTGAGATAGGCCAGCTCAGGCTGGCTTGAACCACTTTGGAGCCTAGGCTGATCTTCGACTTTCAAGGATCCTCCCTCCTGTCTCAGCCTCCTGAGTGCTGGGATTATAGGTATGCACCACCATGCCTGGTTATTTTTTCTTTTCGGCAGTCCATATGGAAAGAAGTAGGTAAAGGAAAAGGAATTTCAAGTTGTTTCTTTGTGCCTGCTTAGCATCCTGGTAAAAGGTGTAATAGAAAGGGTGTGGAAATTACTACTTTGAATGAGGTCTTTGTCTCTTCACATAAGTAACTCTGGTTTCAGAAGTTAATCTTCCAGTGATCCTTTTCTTAGATTGAGTTGTTGCTGCAACACAACTTCTTTACGGAAGCCCTGGAGGTAGCAGAAACTGGGACTGAATTATTCAAGGACTCCATGCCAATGTGGCAGAAGAAGCTGCAGGTGCTGATTGAGTCAAAGAGCCCGGATGTAGAGAAGAGCTTTGAAGAAGCGTTCGTGCACCTGAAGCGCCAGGTCTGCGAGTTGGGCTTGTGTACTTCATTCTGTTTGGGAGCTCTTTTAAGACTTTAGCCAAAACTCATTAGTAATGTGTTTGTCTGTGGCATTGTGCAGTGGCATTGATTACTAGTTTACTAATTACTAATTTGAAGATTGAGTAAATTGTATAAAACTTTTTTTAAAATTTGTATTTAGTACAGGGTCTTTAGGGTCTCACTATACACAGATCAGACTTGTAGTGATTCTCCTGCTTTTAGCCTCCCAAGCATGGAATTACAGGCGGACCATCATGCCTAGTCTCAATCACCGACTCAGGAAACCCCGGGGGCAGGGCCAGCACCAGCACCAGCACC